GAAAATGCATTCTCAAATTGAGTCACATAAAATATATTACAAGTTTGTGATTTATTCCAAACATAAGAGTTCATTTACAAATTATATTACAATGTTGATTGTTCAAAATATAACCCTAGTATTTGCAAAGTTTTGTCAACTATCACATTATAAATTTGACCAAAAGAATGTCTTATTCAGCCTACCACTCCTTCAACTAAAGGAATAGTTTTGTTCCTTTATGTGAAGAATTAAGATAATATACACATAAAATCATGATTTTCTCAAACTATCAATCTCTTAGGCCCCTCGCAAGTAGGGATTTTAGGCATGTTTTGACATTTGGATGTACATTTGCGTGTTAAGATGATGCATCTTGTTTTCAGTTGCTAAGGAGGTGTATCTGATGGACTATATTATAACGTTGCTTTAAGCATGTTGTTCTAATATCTCGTGTTTTGTAATATAAAAGATAGGATGCTTGTTGGTTTATTAAAAGTGGGTTAAGAAGGTACAAAATAGGCATCTTGTTTCTAACTTCTTAGCTTCTTATTTGTTTATGTATTAAATTTACTTAGCTGTCCTATTAATATCCACATAAACTTAACAATATATAGAATAATGTAAATTATAATATTCATGATATAAATTTTTACTATTTTTTACAAATATCTCTATCAATAATGTCAGCTGTCCTCTGTGCTCATCGTGTATAGTATGCCTTGCTCATGTGGTTCTAGTAATCTTCCTATATATTGTGTAGAGGTTGGGCAGGACAGGAATAGAGGGCTTTGTTTTCATTTTAGAATAATAACGTCACATGCCTGTCTACGAAAGAAAATAATTTTAGGGTACAGTTTTAGCAAGTTGTTTGGCTGTTTTCACAATAAAACCTTTTCGCATGTTTCGTAATAGTTGACTGTTTTGGCATTAACTCTTTTAAGTAAAAAATTAACTCCTTTAATTTATCACAGAATGTGCATGTGTTCCAACATGCTTTAACTGACATGAGATCTACACGGTTGTTAAAGTAATGTTATTATCCTCTTCTAATTGTTGCGAAACTGCCTTCTCTATCGAAAGATAATTTTAGAGAAAATAATATTTTACTCCCTTAGTTTGACCTTTTCCAAGGTAAAATTTGGTGGTTTCTTCTCTGACAGTTATTATTTTGTGGTTTCTCTTTTGGGCCAAAAAAGTAACTCTATTACTTTCTAACAAAATGCAACTTGTGGGGTTTAAGTATCTTAATCTATGTTTCAAGCATTGATTGCTTGTTGGAATGGAAAGGAAAATGAAATATTTTTTCTAAAGCTTTATGAAAGATGAGGTATGAGGCGTGTGAGTTTCCGGTCATAAAAGGAACATCGTTATCCGTGTCTCCAACTGAAAGTGTAAGATAGTCGATTATTACAAACAAAGCTGAGGGCTAGCTGAAAATGTAATCTGATCATAATTTCATTAGTTCTTCAAATGAATAAGAAAGGAAATTTTTTTTATTGATTTGTTTATTAGTTATATATTGAGGTCCTCGTTTTGGAGTTACTTTTTGGAGATTGATTGAGGTTTTACTAGTTATAATAAATACTATTAATTGCTAAAATGATCTATTTCAGTCAATTTGTTGACAATGGTCATTATGTTTCTTTTTTTGGTTTCCTTTTCCATTTGAGTTAAAATTGTGGGTTTGGATTGAGTCTAACTATGTAATTGCCTTTTGCTATGCCTATTAATTTTCCGATTAAATTCAGTTCAATCCAAAACAAATTTCTTTATTCTCTAAAAAAGTTAACATTTTCAGTCCAATCACTGGCATTTTCCTCGTTTTGCTGAATCAGTGGGGTTTATTATGAAATGAATAATATTCCAATTTAGTAGTCATTTCTGATTCATCACATCTCTTTCGCAAGAGAAGCAAACAATTAACATTTGGTGGCATCTAGTACCATATGAAGGTAAGGCAGTATATATGCTTTAGTGTGCATGAAGCAAATCTGACATTATCCTAGTAAATGGTTGAAGTTATTGTACTGTTTACTTGTCTTTGGAACTTGTACTTGTTATCTTCTGTTGAATATTTTGTCATTTTTCTTCCAGGTTCATCTGTTAGCGAGTGGGGGCAAGGGGAGGAGTTCCCTAATTGGTTTGATCGGCATATAAATGACTCTGAAAGCATTCCAGAAAGCAAACGATGGTCATCACAGCCATACTCATCTTCTCATATTGCAGAACCTCCTAATATATATAGAACATCTTCATATCCCGAGCAGCAACAACAGCAGCAACAACATCATCAACACTTCTCCAGTGAACCAATTCTTGTGCCAAAATCTTCTTATACTTCATATCCTCCTCCAGTGCAGATCACAGCATGCGTCGCCAAATCACCACTCAGGCCACCTGAATGTTCCATATCTTGCTGGTGGACCGCAGATGGCATCTTCCCCAAATCTGTCTCCCTTCTCTAGCCCTCATCTTCAATTAGCAGGCATGCATCAGGTGTCGCAGTTTGGGGGAACGTTGCCTCAGTTTGCCCCTGCTCTCTCTGTTAGTAACCGACCAATAAGCCAGTGGAATCGGACCGGTATTTATCCTGGTGATAACTCCAGCCTCTTGAGCAATATGTTGCAACAACAGTTACCTCAACAACAATTCTCTCATCAAAATGGTTTGGTACCTCCACAGTTAATCTCACAGATGCAACCACCACAACATAGGATGCACCATCCAGTCCAATCATCACTGGGCCATTTACCGGGGTTGCAGTCACAACTATTCAATCCTCATCTTTCCCCATCCCCACCGATGATGAGCAATTTTGATGCAATTCTTGGTCTTGGTGATCCAAGAGATCAAAGGCCAAAATCAGCTCAGAGAAATAGACAGAATCTACGCTTTGCTCAAGGTGCTGATACTGGTGGCCTTAAGAGTGACAGTGGGTGGCCACAGTTTCGATCAAAATACATGACAGCTGATGAAATTGAGAATATTCTCAGGATGCAGCTGGCAGCAACTCACTGTAATGATCCATATGTAGATGATTATTATCATCAGGCTTGTCTTGCAAAAAAATCTGCTGGGGCAAAGCTGAGGCATCACTTTTGTCCAACTCACTTAAGGGATCTTCCTTCCCGTGCACGTGCTAATAATGAACCTCATGCTTTCCTCCAGGTTGATGCTCTTGGAAGGGTTCCTTTCTCTTCAATTCGTAGGCCTCGTCCCCTTCTCGAAGTGGACCCTCCTAATTCAAATTTTACTGGCAACTCTGAGCAGAAGGTTTCTGATATGCCCCTAGAACAGGAACCTATGCTTGCGGCTAGAGTTACCATTGAGGATGGTTTATGTCTCCTTCTTGATGTAGATGATATCGATCGTTTTATACAATTCAATCAATTCCAAGATGGTGGAAATGAGTTGAGACAGAGGCGACATGCCTTGTTGGAAGGTCTGGCAGCATCACTCCAACTGGTTGACCCACTAGGCAAGAATGGCCACACAGTGGGGCTTGCTCCACAGGATGATCTTGTGTTCTTGAGATTAGTCTCCCTTCCTAAAGGCAGGAAGCTCCTTGCAAGATACCTTCAGCTGCTTTTTCCAGGAGGGGAGCTTATGCGAATTGTCTGCATGGCCATCTTCCGTCATTTAAGGTTCTTGTTTGGAGTACTTGCTGCAGATCCAGGTGCTGCAGAAACAACTAATAATCTTGCTAAGGTTGTTGCATCATGTGTTCATGGAATGGATCTTGGTGCACTTAGTGCTTGTCTTGCAGCAGTCGTTTGTTCCTCTGAGCAGCCCCCACTTCGTCCTGTTGGGAGCTCTGCCGGAGATGGGGCTTCTCTTATCCTTAAATCCGTGCTTGACAGGGCAACAGAACTGCTTCGTGCTACAAACTACAACACTGCTAATATGTCACTTTGGCGTGCTTCATTTGACGAGATCTTTAACCTTTTCATGAAGTATTGCATAAACAAATTTGATAGTGTCATGCAATCATTGCGTTCTCAGGTTCCGCCAAATTTAGCTGTTGAGTTGTCAGATGCTGCCCAAGCTATTGCTAGGGAAATGCCTATTGAACTTTTACGTGCAAGTTTTCCTCATATTAACGAGCAGCAAAAAAGGGTCTTGATGGAATTCTTGAAGCGTTCCATGCTCGATAGTCATGAAGCTGGCAATGGTGGTCAAATGAATTCAGAGTTGGTGCCGAGTTGATAGAGATGCAAGTATGAACAAAATACATGCCAGTGAACCGGTCAATGATGAGAAGGTTGAAAATGCGATGAAAGTGTTCATTGGATCAACGGAATTATGGGGTACATGTGTTATACAAAGTTCCTCTGCAACATCTAATAAGGAACAGGGCTGTGAATGGTGGATCCATGGTACCGTTTTCAGTCCTTTCAGATTTCTGAGTTTAAATGTTTACTTGTTTTTGCTTAATTCCATGCTGCTGCTTCGGCAAAACAAGCAGGCGTATGTGTATTATGTTAGAACTGTGCTGCGATTTAGTCCTCTTCTAGTTTTTGCTATGATTTTCTTTTTAAATTTTTTCAACTATGGGAGCTAATTTTGGTGCTCTACTGTGAAATTCCTGACATGGAGGCGTAGCGGGTTTAGTATGTATAGGGTTCAGTACAGAAGATGGGATCTCTCACTTTCCTGTTCTATTATTTTTCCAAGGAGGTGGGATGGATGTTGTGTTTATCTATTTGATAAAATAGGCCTTGCGCTAGTAAATGGCAATAAAGCCATGGATATCAGCTGTAGTGTCCTCAAATGGGAAGAAGTTTGTGGTCTGAACCGTAATGAAATCTAAGCCTATCTGTAATAGTGGGTTTTGCTTTAAATTCGAATCCTTTCTAGATTTTTAGTCTTAAGAAATTTGCAGCATTCTTTTTCTACCCATCTATGCAAAATGTGTGTTAAGAATAATATGTTTATTATGATTGGACTATCTTTAAAAGCTAAAGTTGTCATTTCAAGTACACCCAAAACGTAATAATGTTGGTATTTAATAATAGACCTTGATATTTTGTCATCTCCAAATTTGTCTATTAGCCACACGAGACTGTTTTCCTTAAATTTAAGAGGAGTAATCTTTCAGGCACAAAGATTTGCACAGACCACTAATTTTTCTCACATATGTTAGTTATTATATCATTTTATTAGAAGGTCTTTGAAGTATTTATAGCAATTTACTAAGTTG